CAGGCATAGCAATGTTCTTTTTGTCTTTTGGCTGTATTAGCAATGCACCCTTATGTAATTTTAGTGGAATTATGATATCACTCCGATCAATGCCCTTTCTGTCTTTTGGCCCTCCTAGCAATGCACCCTCATGTGACGTTTAATGGAACTGTGATGTCACACCTATCAATGCTCTCTCTGACTTTTTCCTCTCCTAGTACCACGCCCTCTGGTGACACTTGGTGTAACTACGACATCATTGTCTCTGATGTCTATGACGTCATCGTCTCTACCCCTCCCCATTGCCTTAGGTCAACACACACATGTGCAGTCCTCTAGCGGCGTGCCAGGCAAATGTTGCTCTAACTATTACTGTCATTTACAGTAAATTATACAGTTGTAATATTTAAGCACCTTACTGTAAAGTTGTCAGTATTTTACAGTAATTAAATTTTTTTAAAGCTCTGTGTAAAACAAAAGGCTCACATACAACACACTAAGTGTATTCCACAACATATTTCATTTTTCTTTCGTGTACAATTAATAAATTCATTCTTTCTTTGCGACTCCTTTATATGTATTACTATACCATAGTTTTTTTAATTATTCAGGAAGATGTTGATGTGAGGGTATGAAATGAATTAAGGGATAATCTATACATTGCTATCATTCCCTTTAAAAATTAGCATTTTAAACAGAGTTTTTTGCATAAGGATTTAGTTAAAAGTTATTTACGTTATGAGTACTTCTGTTACAAAATAATAATTTTAATATTAAAAACACTTTTATGTTTGTAGTGATTTTTAGTTTGTTTCCATACAATGCTGTTCTTTATCTTTTTGCTAAGGAATCTACTTTCTGTTACTTCTGTAAGCTGCTATTTAAGCTATAAAATTATGTTGGTTATTTATTGCAACATCACTTGAGGGGCTGAAATAAATGTAATTAATGTTAATAATAATTAGTTTTCAGTTGTATTAATAAACCTGTGTAAACGTAGCATTCACATATTTTAATCACCTTACTTATTTTTTTACAATATTCTTTGAATTAAAATGATAAAATCGACACAATGTTTTGAAAAGGCTCGTGATTTTGTAATCCACTTACTAAATTTGCAGTTTAAGAAAATCACAGTTGAATTTTGAACACTTATTGTATTTATTATTGATATTACTATAAAAGACAGAAGGGTTTTCGTTTGTTTAGTTGCTGTTAAGTGCAAAGCTACACAATGTGGTATCTGTGCTCATCTCACCACGAATATCAAAACCCGCTTTTTAGCATCTTAAGCCTGAAAAGTAACACTGAGTCACTGGGGTGCACCACCAGAGGACTAAGACTGTTTATTTATAGTGCAAAACTACACAATAGGCTGTGCTGTGTCTTCTGAGGAAACTGAGCTCCGATCTATAATGTTATAAGGCCTGAAGCTACCATTGAGTCGCTCTAGGTAGAGAGACTACGAAAAACTAGAATTAATCCTGAGTAAGTGATGTGGAGGTAATTTGGTCAGAGTGGATTTTGACAATAACGCTTTCTTTCTCTCTCTTCAAACCTAGTAAGTACCGTAATACTTGTAGGAAATGAGTATGAACATTATACTTTGTTTTTTTATGTGACATTATGGTCAGTATATGATCAAATGACGAACCATAAGCAGTAATTATACACATTTTGACTTTTCTACTGCACACGTAGTTATGCTATATACTTATTTGCTATAAATGACAGTTTAATCCCCCTATTGTAAGAGTTACTTTATGACTACCCTAAACACAGTGTCAGTAACAAAGCTGACATTTTAAATAGGCCTGGCATAGCCTAGTGGTTAGGGTACTTGACTCGTAATTTTCGTGTTGACTAGCTGCCTTCCCTCAAGTCTTTCACTGTTAAATTAGGGAAGGCTAGCGCAAATAGTCCTCAACTAGCTTTGAGCGAAATTCAAACCAAACCATTTGAACAACGCAATTCTACAATATATAATCGACCAGTTTCCACAACAACCATACAATTTATCCATTTAATTAAACTAAAATCAGAGCTAACCTCATTCTTATTACCAGTTGTGTTGTTAGCTGACACATCCAAGAAGCAAAAAGAAACAATAGTTAACCAGGCTATATTCTAACAGTTTATTGTTTGGAAAATATGTATATTCAACAATCTGAGGTAAATGTATTTTTAATGGAAACATTTCTATTTTTAATCCTTATCTACTAGCATGACTTCTATTGGAGAGTGTAAGACCAATGTTTTACGATTCTGCGTTCGTAAATGTTTCGTAACATAATAATATTTTTAAACACGTATTTTATTGTATGTTTGATGACTAAGTTTTGCACCATCCTCTTTGAATTACACAATAAGAACAGGTTTACATCGAGCGTTCTAGCCAGATGGATTTTTACGGATAATATTAGTCTTCTTGTCCCTGGTTGGAGGGCGCTCGCTACATATTTGTTGCGTTGGCGAAGGGTGACATGTTTATGAGTAGCTGTGGTTGGCTTTCATTGAACGTTTTTACTAAATTACGAAATCATTTACGCATGCGTAATAGAGTAGGGTTCAAATATATGATATATTATTATATTATAAAGCTTCAACAAATACATAAAAATGCAAAAGTCTTAATACTATTACAGAATAAGAAAATTAGTTATTAACAACATAAGATCGCTTCGATTCTTCTAAATCTCACCCTCGTTGTTAAGAGCTGGACTGCTATTTGTTTTGAGTAAATAAATGTGAGTAAGTCAATTGTTATAAATGAAGCTTTAATAAAGTCAACATTTATTCAAACGTTTTGTTCGTTGTTAAGCGAAAAACTGCTCAATGGACTGTCTTTTGCTTTCCCCACCACATGTATCTAAACCCGATTTTTAGTGTTATAACTTTTCATATTACTGTTGAGTTAACGATGGGGAGGTGGTATACGATAAAAAGAATACGTGAACAAATGCACGTACAGAAAAAGGCCTTTAAGTAGAGTATAATACCAGCGTTTCCATGGAAATCTGAATTCGTTTTGTATCAGCCTTGAAGTTCATTGAATATCAGAATTATGTATTAATTTGTTCGTAATTTTCGTATCCTCTCTACAACAGTGGACGACGTTTCGGTTCCTATGCTGAGGACATTACTTGGTCTTGTACTCTAAGCAAGTGATGCCCCCAAAAGTTTAAATCTAGAATGATGTTATATTTCATTTGGAGTAATGCTAAGATTAATGTTTGTTTTGAACTGATTTTGTATTACTAAGTCAATAACGAAAAACTTTGAAATGTAAACAAATAAAAACGATTTTGAATTTCACGTGAATACCCTTTTTTTGTTATTAGTATGGTGGGTATAATGTTAAAAATAGGATTTTGTACTCGCATTGGGCAGAGTGCAGGTAGCCCACCGTGTAATTTTGTGCTTAACATAAACAAAAACAATTTTTCTAGCAAACGTTTCACCGTCAGCTCTTCTTCAAAGGCTGATTACTTAAGTAAGTGATTATAGTACAAAATGCTTGTTGTGAATTTTGAGTTTTCAGAGATAAAAACGATAATGACCGATTGAATGATAAACAGTATTATAACAAACGAGCCACAAACAGTATTGTAATAAACGATCCCACAAACAGTAATGTAACAGACGATTCCAGAAACAGTATTGTAAGAAACGAATCTACAAACAGTATTGTAACAAACGATCCCACAAACACTATTATAACAAACCGTGTTGTAAAAAACTATTCCGCCTCAGCAAGAAGGTTTCCCTTAACACTGCTGGCATACAAAGTGTTTGTTAAAAGTAATTTTATTTCTGCCTTCTTAATAATCAGGCTTATTTAAACAGAAGATATTTGTATCCTAGTATCTTTGTTTAACTTCTCTGTTAACAAAACTAATACATAACTTAAAATGTTGAAAGTTGAGGGGAAAGTTATCCCAGAAACACACACATATTTATTTCACCTATAAATCACTAAGTAATTAATTTGGTTAAACCACATTTCTAAATAGAGTAAAAGGCATTATACGTTCATAGATTATAAGTTCATTAAATTGTTGTAAACTCATCCTGTAAACTTTAAATGCTATTATTCGTCGCGATAGTAACTTTAATAGAATCGTAAGCCTAATTCTAGTGGTGTGTAAGTTAACAGAACAAAATAGTATGCGTACATACTCTCAAAACTATTCATGCAGTCTAGGCTAGGCTCAAACAGTTAATATATGAGGTTTTGCAAATTCTAAAATATACACTAATTTAAGCCTTAATGTTTTATCTAATATAAATAAAACTTTCGCCAATAGATGGCATATGATAATTATATTATTTAATGTAGTATTCGTTGTGTCACAGATTTATCTGTTTCTTTTTATACTATCTTTTAATTTTCATGAAAATATCGAGTACTTACATTTTTATAGGTGATTTTTTATTCTTTTAATGATGCAACTTTTAACATTAAATAATTAGACCAGCAACTCAATTTTTAGGTCCTAACCTATTTCCAAAATTAGCGAAAATAAATTGTTTTTCTTCTCACATTTGGAAAGTGATAATTTCCTTTATATTTTCTAAACTGAAATATGTCTTTAATAAATAACGGTGTGTTTAAGATTCCCTATAGACAAGGAACGAGATTCCAAGACCGAGAGAAGTCTATATATCTCCTATCTACGTATGATGCAACTGTTACATAGAAAATTATATCTTCTCAAATTACTGCTTGTATATCTGTTAAGCTCAGTTGAAACCTCTAATGTAACACAGCTTTTCCAATGCTCGCACTGTAAAGCGGTCATTTATATTGATTCTAGCAGATCATCCTCGTGGCGTCAAATTTTCCGCCAATTGCCTTTATGCTTCTAATGTTGCCATGGCAACAAGGGAACCAATGTGCATTGGAGTAGCATTGGTCGAGCGTTCAAGAGAATGAAGTTGAGGCTCTTTCCTCCTTTCCTACTACTACAAAACGGAGCAGTAGTTAGCGAAGCTGAATCAGTCGAACAACAACTTCCAAGCAGACAATTAGCTAACGATATGTTTAACTGAAAACCTCGTAGCCACCAAGATAGTCTTAATTTTCAAAGTTTTAATATTCAACATTTCTTTTCTTAGACGTTGGCACTTCTGTTAAAAAGGCGACGCAATAAGGTAATGCGGAAACTATTTCTAAGAGTAGGGCATCATTGATGAACCCAGCTTTTCCATTTTACGCCAGACTTTCCAAAGTATAAACTTTCTCACTCGTCGAATTATTTTTCCATCTGTTTACAATGGCACTGAGGCTAAAACTCCAGCAGGTCACAGGACTCAGAAGCAGAGGAGAACGACTGGCCAAAGCTACATTTAGAGGTACTTTGAAGAAACTTTTTATGTTTTTGGTTGTTCAGTAAGAAAAGTATTTCGAATCTAATTTACAGTGATTTAAATAAATACGATACATCGAAGATTGTAGGGTTTTAAAAAGATTTTAAATCATTTGGACTAATAATAACTATTGCTAAGCATACAGAAGACATGTGAATTTTCGTGTTTTACTGTTAACCTGGAAATTCATCTTAATGCTGAAAATTGAAGAAATGTGTTTGACTTACAAACAACAACAATTTATAAGAGTAAGCCTTTAAAAATTAGGTTTTACTAGAGAACAATGTATCTTTTAAAATCACCGCTTAGGAATTTTGTTGTATAATCTTATGATTTTATCTTCCGGTGGGTTATGTTAAGTTTTCAGTAGAAGATAACGCTAAGTTTTCAAAATAAACTTCTAAATAGTCTTTAGTTTAGTAAATTTCTAACTTTTCAACAAGTTTTAGTAAGAATGTTCAAAATACTAAAGTATCAAACCCTTAAACTAACAATTCTTGCAAAGAAAACGTAAGAAAAAATGTACGATAAGATTTTTCAATGTAATACGACAAATTAGCGTTAAAAGTAATTTAATATTGGTTTTAAACATTCTACAGTATTCCATACTTTTTCTGGTAACCTTTTCTTTTATAAAGCTTAATAAAATAACCACATTTTTATGTATTTCTTCAATATCTATTTTACTATTACACAAAACATTATGCGTCAACCTGATTTGAAAATCCAATATATTGTTCTAACTTCCCATAAATAATTCAAAAGGAAGAATTCCCTAGTTGTCCACATAATAGAGGAAACATATTTTTATTTTTACAATGAAAAGCAACGAAATTCTTACTATTTTGCCCTGACAAGACTCAACCGTTGTAGACGCCGATTGCTCCAGATTCAGCTTGAAACATTTTCCTACAGAATGGGTATAAGATACATACTTCAAATTATATCAGTTTTATATCATATGAATAGTCCAACAGATACCAATATCTCCAGGTTTCGACTATTTTTGTGTGACTAAAATAATTAGACAGTTACAAAAACGCTTTTTAATACTTCTGTGTTCTTTTGATTAATCAGACAGTTACTAATAACGCCTGATTTTTTTGTCATTCGAGCAGTGAGAGGGTTTCCAAAAATTTCACCACTTTTGGGTCGTTCAGTTACTGTGAAATATATCAATGACGTTCGATTTTTACCACATAAATATGAGAACCACGTCTTCGGTTTCTACAAGACTTGGAGACTTTTATTATGTGCTCTTTATGAGTATATTATTAGAACCGTATAGAAAGTTCTTAATATAAACCTGTATTTGGGGGATACACATATATATATATTGAAACTTCCAAGAATATATTGAAAGCAATTACAGCAAGTATCTTTAATGGAATTTTTGTTGTCTTTGAATATGGTAATGTCAAATAGTTTTATATACTAGCTTTGAAGAAGCCGCAAAGACGAAACGTCGGTTAAAATATAAGTTCTCTTATAACTACATTTTTCTAACTTTATTATCAAAAATCTTTAAAGGAAATAATTAAAATTCTAGGTAAATGACTAATTATTTAAGCACTTGTGGTGCAATATTCATATGCTATAAAAACAAACTTTATTTCAGTGATGAATCTAAAGATTAATATTTTTAATATGTATGTAGAGTTTCTCTCTCGAGTATTGAGTTTATTTTATTTAATGTCTCTACCTCCAGGTACGTACAGTTATACTCCTCACTACTAATACTTTTATTCAAAGCATCTACCCTCAGATAGGTACAGTTATACCCCTCACTACTAGTATTTATATTTAAAGCATCTACCCTCAGATAGGTACAGTTATACCCCTCAATACTAGTACGTTTTACCCGAAGGTAGATGCTTTAAATACTTTAAATAAAAGTACTAGTAGTGAAGGGTATAACTGTACCTACCCGAAGGTAGATGATATAAATAAAACCACTAGTAGTGAAGGGTATGACTGTACCTACCCAAAGGTAGATGCTTTAAATAAAATTACTAGTAGTGAAGGGTATAACTGTACCTACCCGAAGGTAGATGCTTTAAATAAAAGTACTAGTATTGAGGGTATAACTGTAAGTACATGAAGGTAGATGATATAAATAAAACCACTAGTAGTGAAGGGTATAACTGTACCTACCCGAAGGTAGATGCTTTAAATAAAAGTACTAGTAGTGAGAGGTATAACTGTACCTACCCGAAGGTAGATGCTTTAAATAAAAGTACTAGTATTGAAGGGTATAACTGTACCAACTGTACCTACCCGAAGGTAGATAAAACCCTTCACTACTAGTACTTTTATTTAAAGCATGTCCTTCGGGTAGGTACAGTTATAACCTTCACTACTAGTACTTTTATTTAAAGCATCTACCTTCGGGTAGGTACAGTTATAACCTTCACTACTAGTACTTTTATTTAAAGCATCTACCTTCGGGTAGGTATAGTTATACCCTTCACTACTAGTACTTTTATTTAAAGCATGTACATTCGGGTAGGTACAGTTATAGCCTTCACTACTAGTACTTTTATTTAAAGCATCTACCTTCGGGTAGGTACAGTTATAGCCTTCACTACTAGTACTTTTATTTAAAGCATCTTCCTTCGGGTAGATATAGTTATACCCTTCACTACTAGTACTTTTATTTATAGCATCTATCTTCGGGTAGGTACAGTTATACCTCTCATTACTAGTGATTTTATTTAAAGCATCTACCTTTTAAACTCGAATATGTACGATTGTTACTAAAATATCAGGCCTGGCATGGCCAGGTGGTTAGAGCGCTCGACTCGCAAGCTGAGGGTCGCTTTCAGCCGTGGGGGCGTTATAACGTGAAGGTCAATCCCACTATTCGTTCGTAAAAGAGTAGCTCAAGAGTTGGCGGTGGGTAGTGATGTGAAGCTGCCTTCTCTATAGTCTTATACTGCTAAATTAGGGACGGCTAGCGCAGATGTAGCTTTGCGCGAAATCCAAAAACAAACTAAAATATTTTTCGTTCCATAGTTTTTAATCACTTTTATTATTATTATTGCGACAGAAATTTTAAGCCAATCAATATTTTGTATTATAATATTTATAAAATTCGTATATTCACAATTACAGCAATAATAGGTGTATAAGAAGTTGTAAAATGTACATTTTTTATTCTAACCTTGTAACATTACAAATATTTCTAAAAACTTGCCTGTTCATTACGTAAGCTAAAAATATTAGCGTTTGATAATTATGTTCTAATTAGAACCATCTTAGATGCGAAAAAAAAGATGCTGCCCAAAACGTATCGAGTGTGGGATTTAAGGGAATGCCTTTCTTTTTCACACCTAAGGTGTTTTTGATTAGATATCATGACTTTTTGTCAATACACACCAACAAACCACAGCAAGTAAAAAAGTGACACTCGATAGTAACCCACATTGGCTTTAGGATCGCAACCCTATTATTCGTAACAGACCTTTACTTTACAGAACCAGTCAGATACTTTAAGCTATATGGCACTCGTTTTCCTCTCTAAAACAGTGTTAATAGCTTCCTTTATAGTAACGCCATGGAATTTATATTAACAGTTTATTTTCATCACCCGCATACAATCGGTACAGCCGTATCAAGCATCATTATTTATGCTAATTGCTTAAGCTAATATCTTTAATAAGGATAATTTCATAAAATTTAGTAAATATATTTTTATACTTTAGCAATCAATAACTAATAATAACCACCCACCCGTATGATTATTTTGAAAGCTTGAGCTAGAATCTGCTTATCTATTTTGCTAGGCCTAATCAATACTTATGTATCTGCACGTATTTTTACCTTATAGTTTTGCTGCTCTAAATCAGCCATCTTTAATCCGAATGTGAATTAGGTGAACCTTTCGTAAAAATGTTAGACCGATAGCTCACGTGACTTTTTGTCAAATTCGAGTGGTTTCTGTTGAATACCTCTGTACATGGGGTTTATTTTTACACCAAAATGTACGTTGAAGAGATCTATCAGTTTACCAAATTAGAAAAAATCTATAAAAGTTAGGTATGTTTTTCTATCAAATAAAGTTTCCGTGCTCTAGGTGCGAAGAAAAAAAGGAAGAAACTCAATTAAAATTGGAGATGTTATATTTCAGGTATTTCTTAACAGATTGTCTTGAAATTTGGTATGTGAAGTAAAAGGCCAGTAGAGCACGTGAACCGAAACCATGTGATAGTTTGAATTACCAAAGTCCGAGATACAGAAAGTGGAAAATCGCTAAACTATCACTTCTGTTAATAACAAACAGTGTGTCCTACAGCAAGTCGTTTTGTCCGCACGACACACTACCTTGTGTCTTGATCTCATTAATAACCAAAACGTTAGTTCTCATTAGTAACTACACTGATCTCATTAGTAACCACAATACTTACAAAGTAAGCGTAAGCATATCAACAGTGTCTTATTATTCTTTTGTTGACAAAAATATGTTTCTTATCTTCTTTTTTCACTAAAAATCATCCTGTATTTTGGACTTGTAAATTCAAATCCTCTCAAGAAACAAAGTCTTTGTAGTAAACATCATATAAAAAAAAATTCCACTTTAGCTTTACACGGTCAAAATATTGACATAGTGAAAGAAAATATCAGCTTTATGAAAACAAAAGCGTTTCCTTTATAATAATGTCGTTAAAGTGTTCAGTGAGGTATCTTAATTATACATTGACAGTAGTGTCAAATGTCTCTCATGCGTAAATATTTGAACTCATTTTAACAGTTTTTAACAGACTCAGCTTTTAAGTTTCAGATTATTTGCAGAGAGCAAGAACGTGGCGAAACCACAAGTTAGAAAAAGAGTAAATACACTGGAATAAAAACGCTTCAATGCTTCCAGCTAGGTTTTACGTTTTTAAGTTCTTGGTACCTCATCTTCCATTGGTTTTTACGTTTTTAAGCCCTTGGTACTTCATCTTCCATTGATTTTTACGTTTTTAAGCCCTTGGTACTTCATC